GGGAGATAACTGGAGCAGACACCTGAATTGAGAAGCTTAGCTGAATTTACGGCGTTCGTCGTTTTATCGACATTGAGGGTTCCACACTGTTTGCAGTCTCGGTAGTTCTGGTCACAACTGACTGAAGAAATATGTGACAAAACTCGAGAATTGTAATATTTTTTTGATTTTAAATGCTGTGTTGCTTACTAGCTTTTAGCTAAATTATAAACGCTAATAAATAAGTGGATTTTAACTAGTAATGAGGTATATAGAGAAAGTGAAAACAGGAGTCTACAGTATCTATGAAAAGTAATTTCCTTGCGCTTTAGTAAGAAAAAATATTTTTCTTGTGCTTTTATATAATTTAAACTGATAAAAAGTCTGAAAACCTGAATTTACTGCAGCTGGCAAACGAAAAATATTTTGGTGGAACATATGAAAAGTGGCCCGTAGTGCTGCTCAAAATGATCGATAGAAGCAGTCTGGTACCCAAATGTGATTCGGCCTACGAAGCAAGCATGTCGGCCCTGGGGGCCGTGATTTGGTTTGTTCTTTGATTTTACATCTATTTGTTTTTGATTCTTGATGATAGTCTTCGTGATTTGCACCAAATATCTGCATTGAGCATTAATGCAAGAAACTGAATTGATAATTGACGAAGGAGGCAAGGTTCCTCATCACCGTAGTTCTACAAGCAATCTTTTTAAGTAGATTTCAAGCCGTTTTGGTAGTGAAGGTAGCGAAGATGCTTGACAAACAAGCAAGTATCGGAAAGAGTAGCATTACTGCTGACAAAGTGCAGCAACATAATAAATGAAATAAAATGGGGATTGGAAGAGAAGAATAGTGGAATATGTATATTTAATATTCTGAAAAGAAGCCAAATTTTATAATCTTATTTAAGCTAACCAGTACTTGCATTGGATGATGTCTGAAGCAAGTTGACAGATGTGACCAGTTTCAATTTTTTTTCCCAAAAACGTGGAAGACTATTAATGTTTGTGTATTTCAGTTGTAGGAATGTTTGATTAAAGTTAATGAGGGCGTTATCTTAATTACAGGTACTTGAAAAGATGCCTGGTGGATGTCGATATGATTTCGATGCGTCAATTTGAACTCTATAAGCCCGTCGATCTCACTGGTCCATTGCCTGAAGAAAAGGTATCCATCCCTTTTTTCCGGTTTTCGCGTACTTTTTCTATAACAAAGTTTTCAAAGTATTCGCTTCCTTTGTGTGTTTGCTTGGGATATTTGTACCAGCTATAATTCATAGTTCGGCTCTAAATTTATGTAGTTAACAACTTTTCCAGTTATTTTGATTCGTCAACCCTGCTCGGAACCACTTATTTTGGCTGGGCTTCTATGGCCCTTCCTTTTTATTCGATTAGTTTTGGCTGGGTTTCTATGGCTCTTCCTTTTTATTCGATTACATATCGTCTGTTGGCCAACTTACTGCCGGGTCCACTGGTTCGCTTCATTTCTTGGGAAAATTGCCAATTCGACCGTTCTCGTCAAGCAATTGTCAAAGCTTTAGCTGTTCTAAATCCGTGGTGATTGTTGACCATCGCCGTCTTGTCCCCATTGCAGCTGTGCTTAGCTCACAATGATTCTTTACCATTTAGGGAGATTTTTGTAACTTTTCGAAATTCGTGTATTCTTAATCCACTATTTTTGCTTGTCCATTAGGCATGTGTGGTTTGGTACTCCTTTGTATTTACTAGTTTACGTGTTATTGTTCATCGTACTTTGCTGCTCGAAAAATTACCAGCAGAGTCTTGAAACTGTATCAAAAATAATGGAATAATGAATTACCGGAAAAACAACGAAAGAATTGCAGGAAGAGCCGAAAACCGGTGAAGCATTATGGCGTGGACGGCGACTTGTTCTGGACGGGCTTACACTCAAACATCTCAACATTGTCCCACCGGTTGGTGGTATTAACAAATTTGTTGCACGTGATCCAGTCACTGCAAAATATGCTCTCTTCAATGTTATTAACAAATGTATCACACCTGCCGGTAAGTACTTCTTTTCTCTTTGAATGATACTCTTACAAAGCTTTCAATTTAAATTTCCTAATGTTTAGACTGCCAACAGCAACTGCCTATGAACGGTAATTATAAGAACTCGACTTGGCTCGTCGGGCGTCATACACGATTTGCAAAGGATTTTTTCTATTGAAGCAAGCAGTATTTGAGCCTTTTCCTACCCGGGGTATCGGTGGCAAAAACCAGCGGCACACTTCCTCCTCCTTTCTATCTATTACTCCTCTCCCCTCCTCCGCCCTCTTCTCTCCCCTCTGCGCTCAGGATATACGTGAACCACCCAGTCGACGAAGAATTTAAGCCATGTAGCCATTAAACCCACGTATCCCAGCCCCCTTCCTTGCCTCGAAAGAAAACCGTAGTTCGCCTCCTGCCTCCGTCCTACTTGCGACATTCAAACTCCCGCCACGCATTGTAGGGCAACCCCACCTGCATCGTCTAAGAAAATTTTCCCAAATCGTGTGCGGCTTCAGCTGAGCCGGGCTGAGTTTTAGTAACTGCCAGTTTTGGTAATTGCTAAAAACTAATTATTAATAATTAGATGTCAGTTCTGACTCGCTGGCGTACATCAGTACCATTTATCATCGACAAAAATAAAAGAAACATGGAGGGGTCGGTTGACCACTCGCAGAATGCACCCATCTCTAGTTATACGGAGTGAACACAAGGGATTTTGACCTCTGACCTGATGCCTTCAACATTTATGATTCAGTTTATTATCTTAAACTTTGTGCTTTTTTTTGCATAAATTTGATTTTAAATTTTTTTAATGTAAGGTTTTAAGTATTTCCTTTTAGCATTTTATTTTCTGTCGAAGCGGAGTGTTAAGCTGATTATCGCATGATTGTAGCATGAAAGTAATATGAAGAACTTAAAAAAGAAGGCAGGAATAGAACGAACTATGTAATGCAGGATGTAGAAATATTGCTGGTACAGAAAAAATAAGTACGAGAGAGTTAAGACGTTTTGGTCCGTGAAGTCATGTACGTCTTAGTTTATCTCGCCTTCATTCATTATCGTATTTGTTTCAGGTAAGCGTTTGTTGAGACAGTGGGTTTGTGCTCCCGTATGTGATCGCGATATCCTTTGTTCCCGGCAAGATGCAATTCAGTGGGTTACGGAAGCCGGATCGAAGAAATTTATCCAGAGAGCCACGGAGTGCTTGAGAAAAGTACCTGATTTGGAACGTTTAGTTCAGAAGTGAGCTTATTCTAACTTATTATAAAAAACGTCAGTTTCATTTGCTATAATAAAAATCATTCATTTTCACGAGAACTCACGCAATTTTTTGTAGAAAAATCGTGATCTTAAGCTCTTATAATCATAATTTCTGCAGAATACATACGTTCGGATTGAAATATCGAGCGGAAGAGCATCCGGACAGCCGAGCACAAATGTTCGAGACAATGCGTTACAATAAGCGAAAAATACGAGACTTAGTTCAGGCTCTGGAAGGTTTTGAGCGTGTTCTCGAGCTTCGTTCGGAATTCATGCGGAATTTCGGCAGTATTTCTAGGTCAGCATGCATTTGAAAGTGAAATGTTGTTACTTGTTGAAAGCCTAGCTTTATCCTGTACTCATGGGTATTATCCAAATTTTCAACCGCATATGGGAATTTTTATTTTTGAAGTCCAAAATGTGATTTTTACAAACATTAACAAGATTCTTGCTAGCATATCTTATGGTTGTAACTCTAATTTGGCGACAATTTCCGGCTTTATCGTTAATTTTTTATGTTTTTTACTGTCTTTTTTACTGCGAAGAGTCTTGACACTTAAAAGTCATTTCGCTTACGTTGTTCTGCTAAATCTGATGCCCATTGGCGCATATTATCATTGTATCACTTTTATCACTTACTAGAGCGCATGCCACAAAGTGATATTTGGCTTAGTTTGGCTCCTTTTCTTGTCTAATGCTGCTCTGTATA